ACTGGATAAACTGTACCAGTTTTTTGTTAACACCTAATTAAAGTATTTAAGGAAAACTCAACATCTCTCAAGTGTCAAAGCAATTTGTTTTGTTGTGACAAAATTCACATCTAACTACTTGTAATGAATTTCCTTTGCAAAATTGATTACATAAAACTAATAATTGTTCTTAAAAACATTTGTGTATTTTATTTTTTGATGAAACATCTGGTCAATAAAACAAAAAAAGAGAAAAAGTTTTTTTTTAATCCTCAGTATCACAAATGATTAAGAAAGTGAACATTTGTCATCTTGAGCTAGTTCATTATGTATACAGTATACCTTGTTTTATATTTAACATCAGTACCAATCTCGTAAGAGACATAATATGCATTTGTAGACTAAACAAATGAAGCTCAAAAAAGCTCAAAAAAAAACATCAAACCATTTCATTGCTGTAATTTCCTTTGGGCTTGAACCGTCTGCATCAAATAATAATCTCTCTAATATGTAAACATGATATTAAAAATTGAATACAGTGATGTGAACCGGTGGCCGCCATGCATACATAATCTGATTTCAAAGTTTAAAAAATTTAAATCCACTTCCTGTGATTTAAATAAACATATGTATAACATGCCTGGGTGCGGAGCTGGACCTTGTTGGCCAGATGGTTGAGGACCTCATCTCACGCGTCTGGCTTTGACAGTACCGGTGGAACAACTCACCTTGTATGACTTTGGCCATTACTGTAAATCCGTGAGGAACGATGAATGTGAATGTTTTTCTGCGCCAGACTGTGCTCTGTGACATTGTCTCTGTGTCCTCTTTCTCACGAGAGCAGGGCACACGATTCCCTGTGGAAGAAAGAGCAGGCTTGCCCTCTAAAGAAGAGATGTGTGACCTTGTTTGATTAGCGGTAGAGAACTTACTCCAGTATTAATTGTTTTATTTACAACTTTGAAAAATCATTTTTTACAGTGTATTTACACAAAATACATATGCTATTCTGAATCATTCTTTAGGGAAGTATAGCCAGGTGTGTTTCCTTTAGATCGTCTGTTCAAACAACAACTCGAACGAAACTCCTTTTCAGAGCAGGTAGCACAAGTCTGCCTTGCAACATTAGTGCTGGCGATAAGCGTTTGTTTGTCTTGCTGTCTGATGATGCATTTCTACATAGATTTTCTCTGAAGCTATACGTCCTCAGGGGGTGCTTAGGGCTTAGTCCCATAGTCTGTAATGAAGACAGCTGCCTGACTAACTGTGTGGTCCATCAGCGCTTAATCCATTTTCCTGGCATTCTTTATCCTTCATTCTCCTGCACGCAAACAGCATTATGTCAAGCTTTAAATGAACTATCAGCTATTGGAGAGTAATTACCCATATTAAGTTTAAATTACTCCTCACAATACGGGGATGATGTTATTACCCTTTGGGGAAAAAAAATCAATGCACTGTTTGGAGTTCAGGCACAGCACACTGTGTGTGTGGGCGCACCTGCTTTCATAATACATCTGCTGACCTTGCTATCTGCAGTGACTGGTGAAAACGCCACTGAAATGGGCCCTGATCAGTGGCGCATCAAACCTCACACAAGGCCGATGACATTGATCTCATAAAAATGTATTTTATACCCAACCAGCAAATGATGTTAGTTATGTTCAAATCACAGTTAGCAGGGATAAAAGTGGGTTGTTGACAAGTAACGTCCATGTTTTTTTCAAAGATTTTAGAACATTAAAAATATACAGTGGGTACGGAAAGTATTCAGACCCCCTTCAATTTTTCACTCTTTGTTATATTGCAGCCATTTGCTAAAATCATTTAAGTTAATTTTTTTTCCTCATTTTATGTGTATATGTTTTGTCATTTTTTGGTGTTAAAATATTAAAATGTTATTTATTTTAAAAATGTATTTAGTATTTTTATTAAAACAAATATAAAAAGTATATATATATATATATATATATACACACACA